CCGGAGAGAAAGCAGAATGACTTCACGGGATTCCTCGAGGGATTCGCTAGAAAGAGCGCGCGCGTGAGAAACTGGCTCGTTGTCAGACGTCGCCTCCACCAGAAGGAGGACCTCGCGGAGGCGCTTCCACTCGCGCGCGCGCCGACTGCGCCTTTGTCCCGTGTCGCCGCCGCCCCGGCCCCCGGGTTTTCTGCGGGATCTTCCAGAGGAGGGAGAGCACGTGCCCTTTTGGACGACGCCGATAGAGGCCTTTCCCCCGCTGCCCCCCCCTCTCTTTCCATTCAGCTTGGGGCTGGACGCTCCTTTGCCTTTTCCAGGAACATTCTTATGCAACTCGGCAAGAACTTCCAAAATAGCTGCCTTAATAAATTAAGTCTGCTTAGTTTATTGAAGAGGCTTCTTTTATGAAAAAGATGCATGCAGACGATTATTCGGCCGATTATTTTTCCCCCACTTTTGCGACAGATGGGTACTAAAACCCTTCCTTATCATTCGGCAGTGTTTCTGGAAATTTAAAAGTGCCTTTATCCTGGCACCAGGGTTCCTGTCCTCTTTTACTCAAATGACGCACTAATGTAACTCTGAAGTACTGTGCTGCGCAATCATGCCACAATCGACCGCCTGCACTGTTTCCCTTGTATTTCTCCCTCGTATTTTAACCCTCAGGCTTTACCTGTTTTCTGCAGTGCATGCATAGGTATTCTGATTAATTTGATGCATTTTGCAAAGAAAAGTTACAGTATTTGTATATTGTCTTTCGGGTTTTTTTTTTAAAAAATCACAAGGTTTACATATTAAAATCAAACACAAAACAGGAAAACATAAGGGAGGAAGTGATATTGAGGGGGAAATCGTGTACTTTGCATTTTAACTTCTAAAATAAATAGCAACAAAATCTGTGTGGGTGAATGGCAGAGCCCTAAGCAGAGTTACATCCTTCTAAATCAATTGAAGTGAATGGGCTTAGGAGGCTGTGACTGCATAGCAGGGTGCTGCAAGTGTAATACTTCTGCAAATTCCCCCTTAAAGTAGGATTGAGGAACTGTTGAAGCTGAATATAAGTAATAAAGTCTCATAGCATGAAGTCCCTTAAGTATAGAAGCATAATATCTTGAAGTTATGGAGAAACTGATATCTTAAAATGAGGGGAAGATTTTATGGCAACAAATCTCATCAACCATATTTTTCCATCCCCTCTTTTCCTTTTTTTTAATGCTACTTTACCTTCATGATTTTTGTATAATTTATTGTGTGCTTATAGAATTGAGTATAGGGTAGAGTTGTCAGTTACAAGATGAATAAGGACTTTATGGAAAGGGAAGGTGTTAAATACTGGGTTCTGGATGCATTGCAGTGATCAGCTCTAGTTTATTCAGTGATTTCAGCACACTACAAGGACAAGCTGATGCTCTGTCTTCTTGGTGCTTGGGGGGGTCAACAGTGGGAGGGCTTCTAATGTCCTGGCCACACTGGTGGACCTCCTGATGGCACTGGAATTTCTGGCCACTGTGTGACACAGAGTGTTGGACTGGATGGGCCTTTGGCCTGATCCAACATTGGCGTCTCTTATGTTCTTAAGCTAGCAGGGCTGGAGCCCTGCTTATAAGCATGCATAACACCACACCCAACACACACACACTCCCAGTGATAGGCTATTTACATTACACTACTTATCTGTTGGTTAGTTCCTGGATCCAGGCAAGCTATTGCTCTAGTGAAGCAAGCTCAGTCCATTCTAGGCACAGCTAGAAGAAAGGCTTAGGCTCAATACATAACAGAAGGCATAGGTGGGCTTGCCAGCTCTGGGTGGGGAAACTCCTGGAGATTTTTTGGGTGGAGCTTGGGGAGAATGGGGTTTGAGGAGGAGATGAACTTCAGCAGGGTATAATGCCAGATAAAAGGAAGTGCTTCTTCACTTAAAGAGTGATTAACACATGGAATTTACTGCTACAGGAGGGTGGTGGTGGCTACAAGCATGGACCGCTTCAGGAGGGAATTAGATAAACACAAGGGGAGACCCGCAAGAAACTTGCAGGGAGGGGGCATTTTCCCCATCTTTGCTTCCCTCTCCCCCCTCCTCTGTCAAAGTTCCCTCCTGTCTTTCTGCACCCACCCCTTATCTATCAATCTTCCCTCACCTCCCTGTGTTAGGTTTCCTCCCTACCCGCTTTCTCACCCCCTTTCTCCTCTCACCCTTTGTACGTCTCTGTCCTTCTCGAACAATGTCTTCTTTCCCCCACCCCTTCTCAGTCTGCCCCCCTCTTTCTCTCCCCTTTTTCTCTCCCCCCCACCCCACAAATCTCCCCCTCTTCTGCTTCTATTTCTGCAGCTTCGTCATTTTTCTGGCAGTGGGGAGGCCGCTCGCCTGGGAGGGATCCGGTGGCAGTGTCCCCTGCCCCACGGCTCCAGTGCTGTGTTGCTGGCTGTAGGGAGGCTTGCCTGGGAAGGACCTGGAGTTGGCGGTGACCGGCAAGGCATCTCCCTGCCGCCACCCACAACTGCAACAGCGGTGAGCCCTGTGCGGCTCCAAGCCACCGGGCCCACCAGGCTTCTCCCCCCCCCCATCTCTGCTGCCGCCTCTGCTGACAACAGCTGCGACAATGGCCGCAGCTCTTAGCTGCAGGGACTTTGCCCCAAACGTGCAGGAAAATCTCTTTGCCCCCTAGGTGCCCCTGATGTGCGGATTTAGATATCTACGCGCAGGGGGCACCTTGGCTATTAGTATATAGACAAGAGGCAGGACCCGCAATACTTGTGGGGGGGGAGTATTCCCCACAGCTCCCAGCCTGCAGAAGCGGCAGCAGGTGAGAGCAGCCTTTTCCCTCCCCCCTCCCTCCCCCCAGTGGCAGCAGTGAGGCCAGCCCGCCAACCTTTCTCCTTCCCCACTCCCTCCCCTTACTTGTCAAGAAGGAGGAAGCTGCCACAGATAAGCCTTCTTCTCTGCCCCTGCCTGGCCCCGACAGCGAGGCCCATGCGGCTCCGAGCTGCCGGGCCCACCAAGCCTCCCCCCTCCCCCAATGGTGGCAAGGCCTGGCCAGCCTGCCAAGCTTTCCCTCCCTGCGCGGTGGCGGCGGCTGAGTGGCTCACAGCCACCAGCCCACCAAGCCTTCGACTCCCCCCCCCCAAGCAGCAGCAGCGAGGCAGTTCGCAGAGCGTTCCCTGCACATGGAACTTTCCTTTACTTTTTGCGGGATTTAAATATCCCCCCTATATTTTTTCAACTGTTTAGATTTTTGTGCACATCTGGGGACTGCCCCAAGTGTGCAGGAAAGTCTCCCTGCCCTCCAGGTTCCTCCGATGTGCAGATTTAGATATCCGTACACAGGGGGCACCTTCGCTATTAGATATATAGATATGGAGCAGAAGTCCATCAGTGGCTATTAGCCACAAGGTATAGAAATGGAGATGAGTACCGCAACCCTAGAGTCGGATTCAACTGGCTTTCGAGCAAGGGAACCTTTACGTTTTTATAGATAGGAACTCTCAGGCTGGGGCAAGTGCTGCTCTGTATTCTTGGGGGGGCAACAGTGGGAGATCTTCTAGTGTCCTGGCCCCACTGCTGGACCTCCTGATGGCACCTGGTATTTTTGGCCATTGTATGACAGAGTGTTGGACTGGATGGGCCATTGGTCTGATCCAACATTGGCTTCTCTTATGTTCTTATGTCATAGAGACCAAGTTCTGAAGCAGCCAGTTTCATGAGAACTGATATATGTTGGTTGGAGACCAATTTTAATTCCTGACGATCCCCACCTGGAGGTTAGCAACCCTAGGAATTCTAATATTTCAGTTGTGCTTTAACTATTGCAAAATGTTTTTAAAGAAGTTAAAAAGGTCCCATCTGAAAGAACAGATGCAGGAATGAAAGTAGGGAGAGCGAGAGTATAGGGTTTTGTTCATAATAGTTCTTTAGTAAGACACAACTTTTTGTTTTATAAAAAGAAAACAGGAAGTGAGGCAGAAACCATGATGGATTACAAAATGAGCTCTTTGCATCTTTGTTGCTCTATATAAGATTTACTGTGCATTGTTTCCTTCTTAGAGGAGAAAAGGGAAAATGAAGTTGAAAAATCTTCCATTTGTGATGTCTGGTGAACAAAAGGACATGT